ATCGCAGGTTGTCTGGATGTCGTTCTAGGAACAGCGGCCAACGAACCACCCACGATTGCCGAACATGGCAGTTTTGGGGGGATCCTCATCCTCTTCTTCGTTTCCTGTTCCCTCCTCCTTTTGCCGCCTCCTCTTCATTGCGTGCCCCCCCCCCCTTGTCGTTTACCGAGCCAACATTGATTACCTGGCATGTTGCAAACGCACTGCGCCCAAGACCCAGCGGACGGCTCGATGCGGCAAGTCGCGGCTTCAGTTGGCCGATAGGGACTCGGGCGAGGGGGGGGGGGGGGGATTTTGCGAGGGAAAGAGGCGGGCGGGAGCGGAAGGAGAGATGAGAAGGAGAGAGGCGAGATGGTGGAGGCAACAGACTAGAGAACATTGGACCACTGGGAAAATGAAGGGGACCCCATGGGGGGAAGGGATGGGGGGGAGAGAGGGCCACAGTAGGGGAATGCATTGGAAATGTGGGCGAGGAGAACGGGGAGAAGGAGGACGAGGACGACAGGGAAGGGAGGGGGAGGGGGAGGGTTTGAAGGGAACGCCGCTTTGAGTTTAAACGACATCCAGAACGACCTCCGTCTTACCACCAGCCCCTTTTCCCTTGTGCAAGAGTTGGCTTGAGCTAGACTGGTTACGGACAGCAGCGCGACGCTCGAGGTGGCGCCAGTGGGGCTTTGGAGCATTGACCTGTTAACCAGCGCTGCAAGCATGTGAGTGCCCCAGGCCCGACCTGCCGCATGTTGCCCGCCCCTCTCCGCCCGTGCTCGCTCTTCCGTCTAATCTGCTTATTCTTAGGTTGGCCGCTGGGCGCTACTTCCGTGGAGGCGTCGTCGCCGTTGTTGTCGTCGTTGTCGTCGTCGTCACTCGTCGTCACTCGTCGTCACTCGTCGTCGTAGTCGCCGTCCGTCATCATTGATGTTTGTCAGCTTCGTCGTCCGTCGTCGTTCGTCGTTGTTGTGACCGTCGTCTTCTTCCGTCCGTCCGTCCGTTCGTCGTTGTCCGCCATCCCAAACGGGTGGCGACATCAACGTTCGCGTCGCCTTCAAAGGTCGGCCCTGCGTGTGAGCATGAAGAGGAGCAGAGGGGAGGATGGGCAGCAGCAGCAGGAGGGACGGGATGCTAAGAGGGAGGAGGAGGAGGAGCAGCAGCAGCAGGGGTAGCAGGATTTGGTGCAATATGCAGGAGAAGGAGAAGGAGAAGGAGCAGAAGGAGGATGAGGAGGAGGAGGAGGAGGAGGAGGAGAAGGAGGAGGAGGAGAGGGGGGGAGAGGAGGAGCTGATTTTTTTGTTCAAACGGGTTTGAAAAAACCAATGGGGAGCAATAGCAGGAGGCGCAGGAGCAGAAGGAGGAGGGACACAGGAAGGACGGGCAGCGCCGTGACCATGAGCAGGAGGAGGACGAACGAGAAGACCATGATTAGCATGAGGAGGAGGGCAGGGGGGAGACCGAGATATGGGAGATCAGGAGGAGGATAAGGAGCGTGGCAGAATTTCTCACACATGTCTCTGAGACGCCACCCCGCGACGCCTCGCAGAGAACGGCGCGCAGCTACCCAGGCTGCCCAAGGGAGGTGTTCGCACGGGGTGCTGGCGGATCCAGTCTTGATTCTTACGGTGGGGAGGCGTATGCGAGAGTAATCCAACAGTAATCTAAAAGTAATCCCCAACATGGCGAGGCAATTGTGTGTGTTTCCCTGTAAAAACACAGGTAAAGTCAAGAGTGATCTAAAAGTAATCTGGGCCAAGAGTAATCCAAAAGTAATCTCGGGTAGCAGCTGTGTGTTTGTTGGTTGTGTCTTTCGTTAGTGTTCTACTTGTTTTGGTGTTTTCTCCGTTCCAATGCGCCGTCGGGCTCTTTTCGGGTTCTCGCGGGCCCCCTTCGAGCCCCCTTGGACGATAAAGCGGACCCCGACCAGCATCGGAACACGATTGGGGAGGAGTCGAACGAGGTGGAGGAGGGCGGAGAGCAGGGGATGGGACTCCCCTTGGAGTAGTTCCCCAGTGTCCCCCGTGGCCAGTAAGAAGGCCATCTTCCTTCTAGCTGAGGCGATCTGCAGCCAGCCTCAGTCGTCGTGGATGTGCTGCGACATCCGCATCAGCTTGTTGGTGAACTTCATGAGCGTCTTGATGTGCACGTCGAGACCGTTGAAGCTGTCCAGGTGAGAGGCCAACCGCGAAGCCGAGTAGCGCTTACGAAGAGGCCCGATGTCCCCCAGCAGGACCTCCTTCCCGAAGTTGTCGACCTTCCCCTCCAGGTTCTCGATGTGCGCCAGCAGCTTACCCAGGTTCTGGTCATTCTTGAGCTGGCCGAGTCCCGAGTTATTGTCCTCGATGCGGCTCGCCAGGATTCGAGCGTTCTTCGTGGCCTTGGCGTAGTCCGTCCTGATACTTTTGGCGACCTTGATCTTCTGTTGGAGGGCCTTCACCTCCTTGTTATCCTCGGCGTCATCCTTCTCGTCCTTCTGGATGCGCTTGCTCGGCGGCTTGGGCGCGGGAGTGCCACCTCCGCCACCTCCGCCCTTGCCCGAATCAGCCGTGGGGCTACCGGTTTCACGCCCGCTAGTACTAATGTTCTTCTCAAAGAGACTCCACTTCTTCTCGAACTCGTCCTTGTGCTGGCGGCGCAACACCAGCGCCATGGGCAGCTCGCTCCCCGAATCGAGCACGATCCATTTGCCTCCCATCCTCGCGCACTTCATGAAGCCCCTCTTGGCACCCTCGATGGCGGGCTGCCAAGACCAGCCGCCGTAGTGCACCACAGCCTGGCCGAACGTCATGCACTCGCCTGAGGTTGTATCGGTCTGGGAGAAGCTCTGCGCCAAGACCTTCTCCTTATACTCATCGTAGTACTTTGCCTTTGCCCAATCCTCACGGAACTTTTTTTTCTCCTCTGGGGATTTGGATTGGTACTCCGCGTGCTTCTCGGTTCCAGGTTTGCGTTCCTTGTTGAATTTCTGCCACGCCTTGTCGCGATTCTCGAACTTCCCAGTGGTGGCGACTTTCGTCAACCAGTCTAGATGAGGGTCAGTTAGTCGCTCTGGCTCTTGCAACGATTTCTTTGCCTGGGCAATGCAGAAGTGGCCGAACGATGCGCGCTGCTCCTCGGATGCAGGCATGGCGTTCCCAGCCTTCATCCAGGAGTCCAACTCACCAACGGATTCGACGACGTCTGTCTCGAAGTTGGACATGTTGAAATCGTCACGCCGATTCTCTGGTGGAGGAGCGCCTGCCGCATCATCTGCTCCTGGCACAGCTGCCGGCTGCACTGGCATTGCCACTGTTGGCGGCGGAGCCGCAGGACCATAATCGGGGCTTTCGTCAGACCTCGGCCGCTCCTCTTTTACTTCGTCCTCAGCCTTGCATTGAGTCTGACGCTGTGCCTCGAAGACCGATGCCAAGCCTCGCATAGTTATCGTAATCTCCTCCGTGGGCTTGGCCTTCTTAGGCCTAGCCGCTGCCTTCGATGCGCACCTCGCAGTCGCGCAAGCTCGCTTCCCCATGATCCGTATATGGTTCGGCCCTCCTTGGATGGCTCAGCCAACAAGCTGATCGCTGAAGCCCAAATGGCTATGGAAGGGATCGACAAGGACACGGCGGAGGAGGAGGGGAGAACGGGGAGGATCGGGAGGAGGAGGACGATAACGAGGAGGAGGAAGAGGATGCGTTGTGCAGACATTGTTTATTTGTGGTATGTCGACCCAAGGAACATGCTGTTGAGTTCTTGTTGTCGCAATGGCGATTTACACTATGGGTCAGAACCTTCACTTCTCCCGCGGTCCTTCGATCGCGCCGACTCTGGGGTCGTTTGGGTAACGTGACGATGACGACAGCGACGCTGATGATAGTGGCGATGATTATGCCGATGATGATGTTGATGGTGATGGCCATACTGATGATGCTGATGATGCTGCTGCTGATGATGATGCTGATGATGATGATGATGCTGATGATGATGATGCTCATGGCCATGACCATGAGTATGACCATGATGGCGACGAAGAGGATGCGGATTCGGACGGGGGTGGTGAGGATGGCAATGATGATGATACCGATGATGATGACGATGATGATGGTGACGCTGATGCTAATTGCGATGAGAATGATCGGGCCGCGATCCACCTGGGACCCCAGGGCCCCGCCAAACGGTTCGGCCAACGGCCCCAATGGGGCTTTAGGCGCGACGCTCCGCCACGTTTCAGAGCCGCGCCCAGCGCCCAGGCGACAAAGCCACGGAGTGCCAAGGAGAGGAGTGCTGAGGCAGACTGAAACCCAGGGCCTCCCCACGTGCTCGAGCTGCGCCCATCGCGAGAGATGAGTGTCCTTAAGTTCGCAGTGAACGCGGACTGCGTTGCAAACCCAACGTGGGAAGTAATGAACAGGGCTCGGAGGAGGAGGGGTAGGGGGAGGATCTGGAGGCGACTGCCACTTGGAAAAAAACTGGAGGCGGGGGGAAGAGGGCGGAGCTGGAGGATACAAAGGGGGAGGATGCGGGTGGGAGAAGGGGGGGAGAGAGAGGGAGAGAGCAAGGAGGGCGAGGGAGAACGCACTGGAAGGGAGAACTGGAGGTGCCCCCTACTCAGGAGACCCGTCTCAGTCGCTGTCGCTGATCGTTTGCAGGCCCTTCTCGAACTGCTCGCTGAGGCTCGGACCGATCGCCTTCGAGAACTTCATCGTCGGTGGTGTTGGGCCCGATGGCTTTTTCGTGATCGGTGTCGTGACGGTGTCGTCGGCCTCCTCCTCCTCCTCCTCCTCTGACTCCTCGTCGGCCTCGATGGCCGCCATGCCGTCGTCGGTCGCGTCCTCGGGCGGGCTGGTCTCCCTGGCGGGCTCGACGATGTCGGCGGCGCTCGGCCTCTTCATCGCGATCTCCTTCTGATCGGTATTCTGCAGGCTCTCCTCTGAAGTTGCGGCTGCTGGTCGCTTCCGTGGCGGTTCACCTGATGTCGAGGAGGCCCTTTTCGCACCTGTAGGCAAGGGGGGCTGCGCCGTGTGTCCGAGCTCCTTGAGCTTCTCCTTGATCGCAATCTTCAGAGCCTTGCTGTCCGTGATCTTCCCGTTGCAGTAGCATGTCGCGATCGGAATCAAGAACTCGCGTGTCAATTGAATCGCCTCGGTGCTGTTCGGCGCCCTGCATGGCTGATCTCCTGGAAGTTTTCCAAAATGTTCAGGCCGAACTTGAGCAATCTGTTTCGTCTGCTCGTAGATGCTGGCCAGCAGCGCACGGTCCACTCTCTGCTCGATGGTTATCTTATTGTGTGTGCCTTTGGTTTCGCTCTCCCACAGGGCGTCCTCGGCCGACTGGGCTGAGCTCCTCGACGCCATCATCTCGATCACCTGTCAGCGGAGGATGTGGAGGACCAGGAGCAGGAGGATATGTTTGTTCGGCCCTGGGTTCGCCAACGCGTGGCTCAGACAGTACATGGGGCCCAATACGACAGAGTTCAAGCCCAAATTGTCGCACCGTTTTGGTGCAAACTTGAAACATCAGGATGAGACCCTCGATCAAGGAAGTCCAGGGGGGGGAGGGGGAGGAGGAGGAGGAGAAGGACGAGGAGGACGGTGGTGATGATGAGAAAGAGGAGGAGGAACATGAAGAGGAGGAGGAGACGGCGGAGGAAGAGGACGAGGGGGAGGAGAGGAGGAGGATGAGTCGGAGTAGGAAACGGAGGGAGGAGGGACGAGGAATATGAGGCGGGAGGATGGTGAGGAGGGAGGAGAGGAGGACGAGGAGGAGGGGAAGACGAGGATGAAGAGGGGGGAGGGGGAGAGAGGAGGACGGAGGGGAGGATGTGGGAGGAGGGTGAAGGAGTATGGGTAGGTAGGAGTAGGTACTAAGTATGGAGAGGTTTAGTACTACTAGGAGGAAGAGGGGTAGGCGTAGGCGGAGTCTTAGTAAGTAAGGAGGAATTGAAAAATAAAAAGTAGTAGTATTGTAGGAGGAGGAGTAGAAGGAGGATGCTTTTTCTTCAAGCTGGTTTGAACAAAAAACAACCGATGAGGAGAGGAGGAGACTGGGCCCCACCTGGCCAACCGCTACATCGTCGAAGCTGTGCTCGGAGCCGTCTGGAAACACTGCTGGAAGCTTCGGCGTCGCAGGAAGCTTCTGCAACTTTTCCACGTCGGGGGGCAGCGCCAACTCCAGGCGCTTCGTGGGCTGACCGTTCCGTCCCATGGGCGCCCTGTAGGCCAGCAGCAGGTCCTTTCTGAAGCCGTAGGCGAACTCGGTGCCCTCGGTGTCCTTCTGCTGCTTGCTGGACTTGGTGTCCTTGGTGTCCTTCCAAGGCAGCTCGTTGACCCAGCCTGGCGGCGTTTTCTTCCTCATGGCATGGCCCACGACATGATGGATGTTGCACATCCGCCTCTCCATCGTGATCGCGTAGTCCCTCACCATCGGCCCAGAGAGCTTCCACTTCTCCTTGTACTCGTTGGCGATCGCGGTCGCGACCGACTTGATCTGCGCACGCTTGAAGGACAGGTTGTTTTGGAGGCCGTGCATGATATCGAGGTAGTCGTGGGCTCGCTTAATCAAGTCTGGAAGAGTCCCCGCTTTCATGACCTGCTCGTGCTCGTCGTACTTCAAGAAGCTCTTCCCCTTGCTGTCGACGAGCGGCTTCAAGACCTTGAGTACGTCGCCGTCTGTTCCTGGAAACCTCTGCCGCTCTGACGCCATTCAGCAAGCGCCTGCGTGTGCGATCAACGAGAGCCGCTGCAACAGCTTGAGCCCAAATGGCTACGGTGGTATTGTCAATGACACCTGATGGCGGTGATCGCGATACGTTGAATTGTTGGGGTGTTGATATTTGCATTGGCGGTGATGGCGGAGATGGTGGTGGCGGGGGTGGGGGAAGGCTTTCTCCCCGCAGTTGCCGCTGACCCCCCCCCCCGAAAGGAGGTGGCTGATGAGGCGGATGAAGAATCTTCTGAAGAAGGACTAGGAGGAGGGAGAGGGGGATGAGGATTTTTTGTTGAATTCAAGCTCGTTGACTAGCGCGTGGGCGGCGCCCCACCAAGTGGACTGCCATTTGTAAACGCGCAGTAAAATCAAGCCGCCGAAGCGGCTCGCTGATCGAGCGAATCGCTCGCTCATGGAGTTGCAGGAAATGCCACCAAAACTAAGTAAAATAAAGGTTATAGCGAATAACCTTTATTTTAAGGGTCGACCCTTATTTTAAGGGATGCTGGACCACAGGGCTGCCCCCGGCTCAGCACCGGGCCAGGGAAGTGCGACGCGGCCCTTGCCGGCGGCAACGTCAGCGCAATCGACCTCGGCGCCTTCCCGCCAAAGCTCCGCGCGCTCGGCGGCTTTGCAAGCGATGGGCGACGGGGCGCGAGCATACCCAGACCTCCTGCGGTCTCAATTTTATTGAGCCGCCTGGATATGCATTGTTTTTGTTTTCAAATATGTAAAAAATCAAGATTAAAAAAAACCAAGGCATCAAAAAGTCGGGATTTGACGACTAAGTCGAAATCGGGACCAACTGCAACACCATATTCGAATGTAGTTAATTAAGCCAGCAATTGACCGTCGTCCAGCAGTTGTTACGGGTGTAGACAGCGGAGGGACGCGCGGGCGGGCCATTTCATCTCCGAGCGCGCCGCGCGCCGTGCATAATGGCGTCCACGCCATTATCCTGCGTGCCCGCAATAAGGCAGGGATTGCTGCGTTAGGAGTCAACTGCTTAATCGATCCTCCACGCTGAGGTTATGTGTAAATCTCCGCGTCAAGGAGGGGATCGACCACTCGGTCGCTATATATATATATATATAGGTAAAGGGAGAAGGAACATGTGTACACACATATAGGTATAGCAGCACATATCGCCACCGAGCGGCGTGCACAGGGGGTGGGAATGCTCGAAGCGGTCCGATATTTCTCAATCGCATGCGCAATAGTAGTCAGCAGCACGGTGTGGCCCGCGCGAGTCCTGCTTAAAGCCAGGCAGCTCCAAGCTGCTGAAACTTTAGGTTTCAACCAGTTGTTGAATGTCCTAACGCTCAGGAGCGGAGAGAGGATACATGCATGTAATACTTTCGTATATCATGTGCACGCATGCCTGCGTACCTACATGCATTGACATATATACTACACGTACACGCGTACATACATACACACATACAAACACATAAACGCAAACATACATACATGCATGCATAAGTACATACATGCATACAGACATACATACATGCGTACATACATACATACACACATACATACATACATACTTACATGCATACATACATGCATGCATGCATGCATACATACAAACATGTATACATGCATACATGCCTACATAAATGCATGCCTACTGTACGTGGCAATGGAACGCCATTTCGACCGCATCTAGCTAGTCGTCGTAGATCACTGTGCACCCATGCACGTCCACTCTGAGAGCCACGCGTGAGCGAGAGGAGGCGTGAGCATGCAGAGGGGATATTTCCAACGATCGCGACGCACATCGGCTCGCGGCCGACGGCGGGGCGGAGCGCGCCCCGACGGAGGCGCCAACGGCGGAGGCGGATGAAGGGGGGGGGGGGGGGGGGGGGGGGGGGGGGGGGGGGGGGGGGGGGGGGGGGCTGGCTGAGGGGAGGCTGTCGCGGGGGCCCCTGGAGAAGTCACTGGGGTCGAGGCCGAGCGAGGAGGAAAGGTGGCAAGAACAAATGCTCGAAACCGAGTCCACTAGGTTTTCCCACTTGGATCCAGGCTCGCATGTCAACAAGGTACTCGGCGATCGTGCGTGCGTGGGTGCCTGAGTGTGCGAATGTATGTGCCTGTGTGCCTGAGTGCGTGAGTGCGCGCGTGTGTGCGTCCGCGCAACATGCACGCATCATGCTTGAGATCTAGATGAGCAGGGGAGGAGAATACTGCGGCTGACATCTGACGTCGCATTGCAGCGTCGGCCCTCTATAGAATACTGCGGCGGGCATCTGACGTCGCGATGTTAACAGCGTCGCCCCCCCATAGAATATTGTGGACATCTGACGTCGTACAACGTCGGCCCTCTATAGAATACGTTGCCGCGCCCCGCGCTCACATCGACGGGGCGGCGCCACAGCAAAAACTCGATTTCTTCGAGGGCCAGCCTCGGCAGTGAATTGGGGCGAAGCCGAAAAGCATGGATCGATCGGTCGATCGACCCACCGATCGCTCGATCGATCGGGCGATCGAAACCAGTCGACTGGATCGATTGGCCGATCGATCTCATGCCTTTCGGCCCTCAGGGCGGGGCTTCTTCTGGAACTGCGGAGCTCCATCCATTCCGGAACGGCGCCCCCCTTGAGCTTCCGCGCCCTGCCGTCTTCTCCAAAACTCGAGCTGGATCGAGGCTGCTCGAGCTTGTCGAGGGGGGGGGGGGGGGGGTCGGTTCGAACGGCGGCGCGCCTCTGCGGGACATCGGCGAAACCCGGGGGGGGAGGAGGACGAGGAGGAGGAGGGGGTGGAGGAGGGGCACGAGGAGGAGGAGGAGGAGTAGGAAGAAGGGGAGGAGGTTCGAATATAAGGCGGATGAGGGAAGAAACCACGCAACCCTGCTGGCCCCTGGCGCCTGTGGTCGGCTTCGGCGCCCTCCGTCCACGGGAAGGAGAGGAAGGGTTCGATCGGCGATTCTCGGGTGCCGCCCCTGCCCAGGGGGAGGGAGGAAGAGGAGTGCGAATTTCCCAAACCTCCGATCGACGACTCGACGTCTCGGGCCCCTGGGCAGATTCCTGCCACTTCCCACGGACAAGGACATAACTTGGTTGCTGGACCTGCATAGGCCCACGGCCTCGGGACCATGGGAACCATATTATGTATATGCACGTTCACACATGTATATGTATGTATATCTATGTATACGGATAATTAGCACACGTATGTATATACACACATATGTATATACACATGTGCATTTTACTTTGTAAGCATATCTCATATCTCTATATATGTATACATATATATATATATACACTGTCGAACTGGAGGTCTGGGAACACGCGTCGTGCCCCCTGTCGGCGGCCTCCCAGTCACTTCGGACCTCTGGATCCTGGATGGGGCCCCCGACTGCGCTGGCTGCCGCGGTGCACCCTTCCTGCGCAGCCCCTTTCCCCTCTTCTGCGTTCTCGTTTTTTTTTTTTTTTTTTTTTTTTTTTTTTTTTTTATCCCTCTTATTCTTTTTTTTTTTTTTTTTTGTTTTTTTTTCTCTCTCTCTCTCTCCTCCTCTCTCTCTTCTTTCTCCTCTCTCCTCTCTCTCTCTCTCTCTCTCTCTCTCTCTCCCTCTCTCTCTCTCTCTCTCTATCCCTCCTTTCTCTCTCTCTCTCTCTCTCTCTCTCTCGTCTCTCTCTCTCTCTCTCTCTCTCTATCCCCCCTCCCTCTCCCCCCCCCCCCCCGCTCGCTGCGACGACGATCGACGTGGCGCGCGCATGCGCGGCGCGCGCGAGCACGCGCACTTTTTCTATATATACACAACTAACAACTTCTCCAGCATTGACACGTAGAACGTCGCTCCTTTGTGGATGCTCTTGGCGACAGCGCCGAGGACTCGGTTCTCGCCCTCGTCTAAATAAGTCCAAAGGAACGTGGGTTTCCTAATGCACGAGAGCGCTTGATAATGTGGTAGCACATGTGCGCGCACGACGCTTTGTAGCACTGCAAAAACTTGAGCATGTGAGAATCCATCTGGCGCTGAAGATCTGCAGTCAAGTACCTCGAAGGGGTATCTACAAGCCTTTGAAACCCCGCGAACTCCTGGCAGGCCAATGGGAGCATCATTGATACACCCTTTCTGAAACACTCAACATTCTCCGAACAGATGATCGGGAGAAGGGGCACCAAGTGCCTTGTCTCATTAGCTTTTGCGCGCAGGACCATCTTATCATCACGCGCACTCGAGCCGAGCATTTTGAGTGTTAGTCGATCAACTCTGGAACGGCCACGATCCTGAAATATATTGTTTGAAAGATAGTACGACGTGGTTCTCCGTCTAAGATGCATAATATTGTCTCTGAACCTGATGACTTGCGTCGTGGCCTAACTGTTTGCAAAGTTCCCAAGAATAAGCTTCCAAAATGCAACTGCAGTCAGGCGCTGGCTTGTCCCCAGGTCGCATGTGCGCATAAGATCAAGTGCTATCATTCCCACGTGGAACCCAATAATACCAAATACTGGTGCTACAAAATTTAAGCCTGCGTCGTTCTTCGCATTGAAGAAGGTGAGTTCCACGGGTTCGCCCCTGGCGATGTTGATGTGCTGAACGGCGCGGATGTCAGTGACGCGTCCCCTCGGGATGAGCCGCCACCCCGCTTCGAGGCCGACTTCGGGGGTGGCCCGCCAGGTGCCATATCCCCAGAGAGCGTCGTCGTGCCTGCAGGAGCGAAGGATTATGTTCAGTTGGGCGTTGCTCCGTACGATGGTTTTCTTAATGCAGGATCTGACCATTTGTTCATAGCGCTGCTGGTCTTTGCCCGCCCACGTGGATGAGTCCACGGCCAAAAGACAATCAAACATGCCGTCCTTCGTCGCGTTGCAGCGCAAGCACGGGTTCAGCGCATTGCCCCGCCTCGCGAAGCCCAGCGCGGAGATCAGCTCGAGCACGTCTGCCCTGAGCTCCGCGAGGGCCGCGCAGAGCCCCCCCCGCAAGGGGGAAG